AGGTTTCCAGCCTCACAGGTGACCGCATGCCTTTTCTGTTGTGTAGGGATCAAGCCTGCAATGGGAGGAGGTGAGGGGAAGACTAGATGTAACTGCATAAGCCTCTTCTCTGCTTTCTGTGGTTCTGTGATTTCCTTATGTCTCTTATCCTTCTCCCAGAGGAGGCAGAGTTTCTGATGGGTACCCTGAGGGGGAAACTTGCCAGGAACCAGAGAGCTGTGCATAATGGGCATCAGTGAATCAAGTATAATGAGAGTCTTCCTGGGTATGGAGGTGCAGCCTGTGATGAGTATAGCTCCCAGCATGCACTGCTTGCTCTGCCTCAGAGCATGTGTTGTAGCCAGGATCTGTAGTCTGCACAGGATGCATTCTCTATGTCTGTAAAGGTGTCCACAGGGCCAGGCTGTGTTAGTGTCTCCTGATGTGTGTGCTGGAAATTCCCTATATCCTCTGGTTTAGTTATCAGCCAGCACAGTGTGAGGGGTGGACATGATCAGCGCCCCGTGAAATTCTCTGCTTTGTCTTGTTTACAGGGGTTTTCTCTTCTTTCTCTGTGCTGGGGGAGAAGTCCTGCCTTCAGTTACACTAGTACAATCTCACGGCGTCCCTTGGGTTGCATGGGTGAGGCAGAGGGCACAGTGTGAGTTGAGTAGTGTAGCTTGAAAAAGAGCATTTTCATGTGGGCAGACCTGCCCCTGCTGGGCCCCAGCTCATCAGCTTTTGCAGGCTGCCATAGAAAAATCTCCCATGGCTCCTAGTTGCTTGGCTGCTGTGAGTCTCACTGAGCACCTGACCCTTTGGGGGCTGCATGTGTGTTCATTCCAGCTCTGCGCTGAATCTGTGATACTCTTCTTAGGCTGGGAAGCCACATCGGTGAGCTGGCAGCTCTTCATCTGTGGGTTGCTCTGTTGGAGTGGGACCAAATCACTTACCATCTGATGGCTAAGGTTAAGTTGGAACCTGAAGGGTAGAAATTTGGGGGGGGATTAGGACTGAATGATCGTGCTGAGATGGAGAGGGCTGCTTTAGTTTAGCTGTCAAGTCATTCTGTGTACGTAAGAGATGGTGGTGCAGGATAGCATAAAGGGATCTGAGGCTGAATTGCTCCCCTGGGGTGGAAGTAGGTTGTCTAGTTGCTGGCCCCACCCCCCTACCCGCAGTGGCTCTAAAACATCCCTGCTGATGGCTGCTGGGGGAGATTTTCTCGAGTGAGGGAGGTGTCTCCATCTCCCTTTCAGCGGGGCCCTTGCCTGGATAGCACTTGGAGTTGCTTTGCTTTTCCTACTTTGCCTCCACGATATTCCCTGCTGCAGTTTCAGCCTGTCCCTGCTTGTCCTGTCCATGGCGCACTCTAACCCCCTGTCTCCTTTTGCATCTCCTCTACAGGCTCTTACTTTCCAAACTTTTTCTCCATATCTCTTACTTTCCAAACCTTTTCTCATCCCTCTGGCTGCTTTCTCTGGGGACTTAGTGGACTTCCAGGACCCCTTTTCTGTTTGGTGGGGTGGGAGTTCGAGGACTGTTTACGGATGCTGGGCCTCTTTGCTCGGGTCTAGGCCAAAGCCCTGTTCCATCTCATCTGTTTTTCCTTTAAAAATACAGTTGAGAGGGCATAGAAATGAATCAGGCAGGAAGCTCTCTGATCCCATCATAGTGGCCAAGAGCAAAGCGCAAGCTATGGAATTGTGTATGCTTTGTCCTTATTGTAACATGGCCATGTGAACTGTAGGTCCCAGCATGCAGTGCTCTCTCTTGGTTACATGGCCTTACCCTCGCATCAACATGGAGTGTTGCGTGCTGGGACTAGTAGTTTTTACAGGCTGCACCTTAGTATCAAAAGGAGGGGGGGACAGCTACTATGTGGTCTGTTGGACGTGAATCAGGTGCAATCCCTTGGAGTCCAGACAAACTGTTTAAGAGGCCATTGGTGTAGGGTAAATTTTGGGCACGCTGTTGGGGAGGCTGGTCTGTATTTCACCAATAGTGTCCCATAGCCATTGTTACCCAGCAAAACCTTGCTCTGCATGTGCGGTCTGCATGTGGGAGGAATGGAGGCTTTTGGGCAAAGGTCTGTTACTATATTTGTTATCTCTGAAGTGCCCTTGTGGGATACCGTGCCCCCAGTCCTTGGGCTGATCCCACCCCCACGAGGGGCCTTTGTGGCCTAAGAGCTTGGGCAGTCAAACTCGTTATTGGCCTTGTGCATCTGGACAAAGAAATTGCCAAGGGGTGGCAGTACAAAGGCGATTCTCTGCACGTGGCGCCTGTAGCGGCCAGGAGCTGGGGCTGGGGGCTGGCAGGGAGGTTTTGTGCTGTTTTGGATGTGAAGAGGTTCTCCTTGTTTTGGAGGGAGGCTGCGGGGAGTGAGGTGAATTGATCATTGCACATTTCCGTCCCTCCCCCAAGCTGATCTGTGCAGGGAGCAGCCTGTTTGTGATCTCAGCTGGAGGAACAAAGCACAAATGGCACTATCTGGCAGGGATGGACCCGGAAAGTGGCTCTAGAGAGGCAGGTAGACCTGAGCAGCTGGTGGATTAGAGCTGAGGATGCTGACTGTTGTGCACGCTCCAAGCTGGGAAGTGGATTACCGGAGGGGGTGGGGGCGCTGGGGCAAGGGAAGAGGGAGGGAGGAACACACATGGCGGCTTTTGAAAGCTGTTAGTGACTCCAATGCTGCATGCAGCGTTCTCCTGATTCTGCACTTTCTCTGCCATTGAAATAAGAGGTCAGTGCTTTTCATTTCCAGCTCGTGTGTTAGCCCCTGGCTCCTGGGGTTAAAAATCTCTGTAATGACCTGTCAGAGAGTGGATTATTAGGTGTACAGAGCCAGGGATGCTGTGGGGAGCAGATGGAAAATGGTCTGGCTGCTGCAGCCCGTCTAATGAAAGAATCCTTGGCATTTTTACAGTGTTTGTGTCTCTGAAAACGCACCACGAAGCCACTTTCCAGGCTCCTGCCTGCTAGGGTTTAAAAGAGAATGTATTTTTTTAAGTCACCTGCTTTTGGAGTGTTGCTCAGAAATAATACTGTGAATCTGTGGGCCGTGTGCTCAGCAGAGGAGCAGGAGGAGGAGGACAATGGCACTTGAGAGCAGCCGCATTGAGAGGGGCGGCCAAGGGTTTCTCAGGAGAGCCTGGAGAGGGGTTTGTTGGGGCTGAGAGCCTGGCTGCTGGGAAGAATGCTGTTTCATGTGTTAATTATGTCTGGTAATGCAATTGCCACTAGCTACTTTCCATGAGTGACTCTGGGGCTTCTTCTCCCCATGCTACACAATTGCTTCCAGGGAAATGTGCAGTACAGAGGTCTGAGTGTCTGCCCTGGCTTTAGGGAGTTCTAGGGATGAGAGAGAGAATGCTAGGTCTGACTGGGGGGCAGCAGAGCGTGGGCATGTACAGTGACAGCTTCCTGCATGCCGTGCTGCCAGCACCCCTCAGACCTGATTTCAGCCCTGGGCTCCTATGCAGCGCTTCCCATGCCCCTCAGTCCTGACCTGCAATCCCACTGCTATTCCAGCCCTGAGCTCCCCCTACCTCTGCTGCAGTTCTGCCAATGCTCTTCAGTCCTGACCTGGAAGCCCCCACTCCCCTTCCGGCCTTGGGTCTCTCCTCATCAGTCAGTTGTGCTGGGTATTGTGTGGTGGCTTTCAAGTGTGGGAGCTCTAAAGTGAGCTGACAGGTTGTGATCTGTCACTGGAGATTGGAGGTGAGCTCTGGGGACAGAAAGCTAGTCCCTGCTGTTTGCCCTCTGGCTGATCCCGATGGCTCTCACCTGGCTTTAACACTGTGCTCATTCTGAGGCTAGATGTCGGATTCCCATCAGGGCACTAAACTTCCCTGGTAGGTGACTCTGGTCTCATGCTGCACAGTGTGTGTGGGGCGCACTGCTCCGATCAAGGCCCCTAAACCCTACCCCTGGTGGGAACAGGGGGGAAGGGTCTGCCTCCCTGCGTGCAGGGAGTGCTCAGTAATTCAGAGGGAAGTGGCAAGCAGGGAGCGAGAGAGTAATGTCTTGTTGAAGCTGAGAGCTGTGATCTGCCGGGGCCTGTATCGATTGAGGGAGCGGTGCCAGATAGCGGCTGCCACAGGGACAGCCAGGGTGCTAGGGCCTCTTCCGAAGAGCCCCACGTTGGACCCTGCAAGGGGCCAGCAGGATGGCGTGATGGGGCTATGTCAGCCAGAGGGCAGGCTGGTGAGTTTCATGTAGCAGGTCACTTTTCCCAGGCAGTGTCTGTGGTGGGGGCTAGAGGGATGGGGTGTTGCAGATTGTTCCCCACCCAGGCAGTGGGCTCCGGTCAACTTCAGTGTCTAAAATTGTGTATGTTCGTGTGAGTGTTTCTTTGGGGTGAAACAAGGTAGGGGTGGGCAGCTGTGCCTATGGGCTCCCATGGGCTGGTAATAGAGCACAGGCCCCTGCGTCTGTCATTTTGTGTGTGTGTGTGTGTGTAAGAGAGAGAGATAGTGTGTGTGAGGGCGAGTTCAGCTCCCTGTGTCTGGTTTGTGTGTGTGTGTGTGAGTGAGTGACAGCGTGTGTGTGTGTGTGTGTCGCGTGCGGGGGGAGGAAATTCAGGCTTCCTGTATCTGTGGTGGGGCAATGTGTTGTGTGAGACTGCGCGTGCGTGTGTGTGAGAGAGAGAGGGTGGGGGGTTCAGACTTTGCCTGACTGGTGGTGGTGGGGTGTGTGTGAGTGAGAAAGAGAGAGACAGCGTGTGTGTGGGTTCAGGCTCTGTGGTGGTGTGTGTGAGTGAGAGACAGCCTGTGTGTGTGTGTGTGTGTGTGTGTAGAGTTCAGGCTCAGTGTGTCTGTGGTTGTGTGTGTGTGTGTGTGTGTGTGAGAGAGAGAGAGAGGTTGCGGGGAGTTCAGGATCCATGTGTCTGTGGTGGTGCACAGGTACCTGTTGGGCCCCTGTAGTGGTGAAGGTGCGTGTGTCTGTTCTAGGAAGATCACTCAAACAGGCTTCCCCGTGCTGCTCCGTGTAACACCTGTTCTTGCTCTCCCTTTCAGCGATGATGATGCCGTCACCTGGACAGACCCTGACCACTGGAGGCCTGAGGACATAGCTGCAGCTGCTGCCTGGGATCCAGAAGGCGTGGAGGCAGGGAAGAGCCTAGAACTTTGAGGTGGCTGTGAACTCTAAGATGTCCTTGAGCAGCGGAGCTTCCGGAGGGAAAGGAGTGGATGCAAACCCTGTTGAGACGTACGACAGTGGGGATGAGTGGGACATTGGAGTAGGGAACCTCATCATTGACCTGGACGCTGACTTGGAGAAGGACCAGCAGAAACTGGAAATGTCAGGCTCCAAAGAGGTGGGGCTGCCGGCGCCCAACGCCGTGGCCACACTGCCTGATAACATCAAGTTTGTGACTCCGGTGCCGGGCCCTCAGGGCAAGGAGGGCAAGTCCAAATCCAAGAGGAGCAAGAGTGGCAAGGACAGTGGCAAGCCGGCCCAAGGAACCTCTCTGTTCACTCCTGGCGATGGGGCCAGCGGCAAGAAGGAGGTTCAGGGACGTTCTGGGGATGGCGCCAGTTCGGGCGGCCTGGTGGCTGCTGTCATCCCAAAGGGCACTGAGAAGTCGGCCAAGGCATCTCGCAGCGTGGCCAGCTCCAAAAAGGAGAAGGAGGGCAGCTCATCCAAGAGCAAGAAGGAAAGGAGTGAGGGTGTGGGGGCTCCATCAGAGAAGGAGCCCAGCGTGCTCCAGCCTCTCGCCCTGGCTGTGAGGGTGGGACAGTACGATGCAGGCCAAGGGCCAGAACCTGCTGCAGCCGAGCAGCTCGGGAGTATAGCTATCGACACGGGAGCTGCGCTCAATCCTTTGGGAGTTAAATCGGAGATGGAGGATGGGGAAAGTGAGTGCCGGCAGCCAAAAAAGGTCAAAGCAGAGAAGGTAAGAGGCAGGCGAGTTGCTAGTCAGGAGGGGTGGAGGGACACTGCTGTGGAGAGTAGGCGGTGTATGCAGCCCCATGTCTGCTCCCCATTTCAGTGGAGCGGTGCTCTGTACACGTTCTGCCCCTAATGCTTTGCCAGGAGTAGGTTGCAGTGGGACTGCTCCCCTTCAGCAGCAGGAGATGGAGGCAGTTGCTTCCAGTGGCCTCTAGAATGAATAGGACTTGCTGTGTGTGCTGCACTAGGTTCTGGTGAGTTGTAACGGGATGGACCTGAGAACAGGAAAACGTAGGCTGTATCTTGGGCAAGCTGCTTTCCAGCAAGATGCGTTGGGCCATGAAATGGCTCCCTGGGCCAGGGGTGGAACCCAGTTCTGGCCTCTTTAAGATGGACTGTACAGTAAAGAACTGTCCTTCCTTAGCCTCTGGGAGATGGGCCTCTCCAGATCCCCAGTCCACAGCTTTGAGTCATGAGTGTTTGAGATGAGGGAAGAGCATCTTACCATCCACTGGTCCTGTGTAGGATTGTTCCTGACAGTCAAGGTTTGGTGTACTTTTCAGCAAGCTGAGGAAGCCAGGGGACGTAGTTTGTGTTTTGTCAATGAGAAGGGGATGCAACTCTTTGCTTCCCCCTTTGTGGGCAGGGCTGAAGGTGGCTTGAGCTCCTAGCTCCACAGCAATCCTCAACAGCCACGAACTGCATACCTGACGCACCAGAGCCTGTGATCCTGGAGAGCTGTTCTCTGAAAATGGCTGCAGTTGAGGTCTGGAGCTAAGTGAGCTCTGCTGCTGATGGTACCACGTGGGTGCTGTGCTGCTCTGATCTCTGCTCCTCCCCCGGATGAGCTTGGTTAATTGGTAACAAGGTATGCCAGCTTGTGGTGGCTTTGGCTTGCGGTGTTTGGGTGTCAGGCCCTGCGCTCTCCATTCTTCCTGTAGTTCCCAGCTGAGCAGGGCAAACGGACTGGCTCTCTAAGCTGCCCGATTGGCCGGGGGTGCTCTGTGCAGGCTCGCTCTGTGCAGGCTCACCCTGTGTTGAGCTGGTCCCAGCAGCTGATGTATAAATTGATTTCTCTATAATTACATCAGTTGTAGCAAGGGAGACAATGTCCATATATAAGAGTTAATAAGTATAGAATCTTTCCTAGGGTGTGGCAGAGAAGCTGGAGCTGTCCTGCTCCTGTCCCTGCAACGCCGGGTGGGGTGATGGGGCCTTGTTCTCCCTCTACCCAGGCCTGCAGTTTGTACATTGGCCTAGTGGTACCTGTTGTCATTGTCAGCGTGTGGGCATCAATATGTCTGTGGCTGTGGGCAGTTTTCCATGTTAAATGCTATTTCATATTGTCCTATCCCTGTGGCAGCTTGTAGGGATTGTCATGGGTGAGCTGGCACGGCTGTGCTGGGGGTGAGTGGGTATTGCTCACAAACTACCCCCTCCTCTTTCAGATCAGCCTTGGGTGCTAAGATTCTGTTGCTGCTCCTGGCAACAAACACGTCTGGCTCTGGAGCTAATCCGTCCACAAAGCGGGGCTGTGGAAAATGGCGGGCTTTCTTCCTGCGCAGCTCCATGATCCTGCTGTCTTGGTCCTGCTCGTATAATCTTATATAGCTGTGACACCAGTGGGAAAGCTGCTTCCTTTGGCTGCCATGTGCAAGTAGTTTAGCTCACGAGTGGCCTTGTCCTTGCAGGTTTCAGAGTAACAGCCGTGTTAGTTTGTATTCGCAAAAAGAAAAGGAGTACTTGTGGCACCTTAGAGACTAACCAATTTATTTGAGCATAAGCTTTCGTGAGCTACAGCTCACTTCATCGGATGCAAGATCTCTGCTGCAGAGTGCAGGATGAGCTGATACAGCTCCTTGGAGGCATAAGACCATTCCAAGACCTGGCTCTAGATGCTTGTCTGCACTAGACAATTTGGACATTACCATCACTGCTGCAACCCTCTAGTACACCCATAAACTGTACATGGCCGCACACAAGCACTTGCTGTGGTGGTGGTCAAGCCTGTGCACCACAACTGGGCTTGTGCTGGCACTGAACATCCGGTGGAAGAAACTGAACATGTTGCAGATAGATCATATAAACCACACACTTCACGCGCCAGCCCCAGGGAGTGATGCCATGGCTTGTGGACCAGGTGCAATGGTCCCAGGGGTGAGGCTCATGTTCTGTGGGGGAAGGCTAGGGCTGGGGGTCCTATGGGCAATGAAGGCCTTGAAAAGAGGGCTGCAGGCAGTACGGGAAGAACATGAGAGGGGGACTTCTCCTGAGAGAAGGGAGCGTGCCTGCAATGGATTAGCAGGGCCTCAGGAACTGGTGTCCTCAAAAGCTGCAAAGTTTTGCAGTAAAAGAGCTTGTTCCAAATCGGTGTCAGACTCTGTGGAGACCGAGTGGAGAGCAGAACTGACTGAGGGGGGAGGGTGTGTAGCAGTAACGGGTATGTGTTCCTGCCGGACCCCTGTGCAGCTCCCTGCATGGCAGGGGCAGGCTTGGGAATGTTATATTGCACACTGTGCAAGATCAAATGGGCCCAGGGGTGCTCTCCCAGCGTCCCGTGTGTCCCCACGAGCCGTCAATGTGGGACCTTTGTTTTTTCTCCTGTGAAGGAGGGGCCTGAATGTGCACAGCCCAGACAGGGTTGGGGTATGGTGTGCTGTTATGGTGTGCTCTGCCTGGGCAACAGCCAGAGTTCCTGGGGAGGCCTGGGCAGCTTGGGAAAAACATGGTTGTTCTTGGGGAGAGGGTTTACAGAATGGCTGTGCACAGTGAGAAATGGCCTGCAGGCTCTGAGGGGTTGTTTGCCGGGTGAGCTGCCCCCCAGTCACTGGGGATGGCTCCCTGTGCTGGGCTGGGGGCTGGGAAGGACAGTGAATGATGGATGTCTGTGTGGCGCTGCTCCCTCTGCCCTCCCTTTGCTCATCGCTCTATCCATGGCAGCCCCTTGCCACTTTCTCTCTGCCCCTGCTGCCATGGCTGGCGGCTGCTCCAGTGCAGAGCTTGCTGTTCTGTCTGCACGGAGCCCAAATGGGAGGGTGAGGCGCACCCCGGCAGATGCTGCCTGCTGCCATTGTCAGCACAGCCCTCTGGAGCTGCCTCCTTCCTTCTGCTCCCTTCTTGGCGCGGGGGATGGAGAGGGAGGGGATATTGAGCATTAAACAAAAGCGCCTCCGAGCTCTGGGCTGCTGCCCCGGCTTTGTTTTGATTGAGAGCTTGTTGAGCAGGATGAGTGGCCAGATGTGATGCTGCTGCAACCGAAGAAAAGGCAAACATCAGCGACCGGGAAGTCAGCGCTAGAGAAAACCCCTCTCCATATTGTGTGTGGTGTGTGTATAGGTGCGGGGCGGGGGCTCATCACCCTTCCCTTCAAGGCCTGTGGTTAGGGAGCTGCAGATGGATGTGCCCCCCCCACAGGTGAGCCCCATGCTGTCAGTGCTCAGGTGGCATCTGCACTAGCCTTCTCCCCGCAGGGTTCCCACATTACTGGTACTGAAGGGATGGGGAAATCTTACAGTGTGGGAGAAGCTGGAGTAGGCAAGGCCTATAATACGTCAGCCATTTGAACACATGGCTGAGGCTCAGCAGTGCCATCACACGATTCCCTCTTGCCGGCATGGGGCTCTTCCGTGTTCAGGGGCTGGGGTGGGAAGCTGAGTGCCCATCTTCCAGGAACAGCTAGCAGGGGTGCACGGGAGGGGACGTATCTCTGTTGGGTGAATTTCCCAGTTGTGCAGTTGGGAATGGGCTGGCAATATTAGCATTAGATGGTTAGCTGCAGTGGTGTTAAGAAGCTAGCTTGGAGCAGGCTTCTTGAGCCATGCTCAGTCTGCACCAGGACTTCTGTTCGTTGAACTGGCGGTCGCAGGCAGCTGCTCTGATACAGGCAGCTTTTCCTTCTAAAATATACACACAGGCAGAAAAGGTGGATCCTGAACACAGCTGTAAAGCTTTGTTCCTGTCTACACTGCCAGGAGTAGCCATTTTAAAGGAGGATGTAGCATAGATATTAGCAGCGCTGCTCACAGAAATGTTTCTGTAGATAAGCTCTTGCCCCAGAAATCCATAGCATGGTGTCTCGTACATTTGTCAGAAGGTGCCAAGTGTGGATGCAGATGCAGCTCGGTCACCACTGAGCTTGCTGGACCCGATTGAAAATATTGCATGAGCTCTAATGTGGACAGGGACTGACAGAGACTGGAAAAGAGCGAGAATCCCAAATCCTAGTCTCTTTTCCAGACTTCCTCCCCTAAAAATTCCCACCGTTGGTACCGGTTTTGTTAGCAACATGGACTGCTGGTGCTTTAACTCCCATGATCAGATCAGAGAAGCACCGCTAATCACTTCCAAGGAAGCAGCATAGTGCAGAAGGCTGTGGAGTTGTGTCTGGTGGTCCCTCAGCTCATCCTATCAGCAGGTGAAGGCCACTCCTGCCTTGGCCCTTTCTGCTGCTATATATCAGCAGTCTTCAACTACTCACCATCCTCTGGGTGTCTCCTGGTGCCCTTGAGACCTGCCCTGCTCTCCTTCACTAGCTGACAGCAGTGGCAGGAAAGCAGCGTAACAGTCAAATACCTCTCAATAAGAGTTTCCAGGTTCCCTATTCCAGCCAACTCCCCCTCCCCGTCTGTATGTCACCGGCAGGACTTGATGTTCCACTGCGTGTGGTGGGCTAGTTATTCCTCTGAACTGCGCTTGAGTTTGGGATGGTTCAAATGGCTTCTCTGCTCCAATCCCCACCGCTCCCCGGAGAACCAGGCTGGTAACAAAAGAAGCAAATGGGTTCTCTATCCTGCTGAGTACTAGGCTGCGGCTCCTCATCTGTGTCTGTTCTGCTCTGAGTCCTGGAGGCTGCTGTGTCTTTGTGGGTACTCTATAGCTAGCTGGGCTGGTTGCATATCCTGTGGATTCCAGAAAGCGCTCCGGAATGCACTCATGTTTAGCTTCTTGTTCCTGAGGCATCTTTATATTAAAAGAGCATTTCTAAGGGCTGTTAGCCATGCTCTG